GATCCAATAATGTCAGATTAAAAATGCAGATCTATTTACCTTCCAGATGGTTTTTCAAGGTCTCTTATTAAGGCTGACTGCATGCCTGTTTGTTTATGAATGAGAGTTTGTTACTTGGGGAAGGGAACCAGACCTGGGCATGCTAGCCTTATTCCCTGTCATTTATCACTAACTAAGGGTCTCCTGTGACTTCTGGCTTGTGAGCTTACTGTATAACTTTCCCCATTGAAAAGGGAGATCACGTTCACTTTTGTATTATTTTCTGAATTCAAGTGCCAAATGTTTGTGCAGTTTAAAAAAGATGGTTTCTTTCTTCCCAACTCATTTTAATCCCTCCTCCCCCTCTTGGCTCTGGGGCATTTGTAATATAGAAATTATAATATTACCATCACTTTCATGTCAGTGGGCTTCGATGTCTGGAAGAGAAGATCAAAATATCTTTGAGACAGAATTAGTCAGATGGACAAACTGGAAGGGAAGAAAGTCCTAAGTCAGTGACCTTCAAGGGGATACATTTGGCTGTAATACAAGGAACCCTAGGGGTCATGTGCTGACACAGGAAATAACAGTACATCAACACCATTACAGAGAAATACATTGTGAATCTTATATACAAGCCATGGAGTGAAATTTAAAGTCTTCTAGTAGCTCCTTTTTTTTTTTAAACATTTTATTTACTCTGTGTATATTTGTGTGCATTTACATTTTATTCTCTCTCTCTCTCTCTCTCTCTCTCTCTCTCGTGTGTGTGTGTGTGTGTGTGTGTGTGTGTGTGTGTGTTACAGTTTAATTTACTAACAATACCGTATCTTCTTCCAGCGGTAGCATTCAGCCGCTCTGCTCCCATCTCTGTGTCCCTTGGATAGTCATGTTTGATTGCAGTCATAGAACCAGGCAGATTTTGAAAGTGCAGGCAGTTGTGTAGGTAGGCCTCTCCTTAAGACCCTGAAAGTGTACTTCAGGAGAGTGTCTTCTCATGCCTAGTGCAGTCTTAGAAGTTCTCAGTGCTAGAAATAGGTGCCACAGATTGAACTTAAGTAGTCAGGTTGACTGCAAGTCCCTTACCTGTTAAATCATCTTGCCAGCCCACCTGCATTTAAAAGGCAAAAAAGAAACCATTGATGTTAGTCCTCTATGTTTCAATGTTATATTTTAGCATATGATCAAAGTAAATGTTATTGAGCTCCTTCATATTCTTTTTGGTACTCAGTCTTTGAAATCCACTTTGCATGTTGCGTTTAGAGCAATCCCCATTCAGAGCACCCACATTTGGAGTGTGTAGGGCAGTCAGATGTATCTTAAGCTTATAATTAGACACTGTGGGGCTAGGAAATTCAGTGACTGTTCCTCTCACACTGATAGACCACAAGTGGGTTATACACATATGAACCCATTTTTTTCCCACATGAGAAAGAAAAAAAAAGCAGCATTTGACAAAAACTGTCCAAATGGTTCCCTTGTAAAACTGTAGGTTAAATTTTTTTTCACATAATTGTTCTTTGGTTTCAGGACTGGTCACAGGAAGGAAATCACCCTTTTGGGGACCAGACAACTTCATTCAAGGGAAAATAAAATGGAGGCATTAAAAAAAATGTATAAAAAACTCCACATTTAAAAAAATGGAAGCGTAAACATTTTCATCATTTTAGATGGTGCAAGTTTCATTAACAAATGTCAGCTGATTTCTCTTCTGCAAGAGTGTGACTTTATTACATGTGAACTACAAGAATTCAGTTAGTTCCTAGAAGTGTTAGCCTGAATGAAAATAGACACACACACACACACACACACACACACACACACACAATTTGGCAGCTCTAGGATGACTTTTAATTTCTAATTGGGAAAATGTTTGTGCTCAACATTTTGGGGAGAATGGGAGCTACAATATTAAATGTACCCAGACAACTTTATTGAGAAAGTCCAATTGCATGACACAATAAATCAACTTCTGTTTGTTGCCCAGAGCATCTTCAGGATTTTAGCACAAACCCAGTGGTCACACTATCTCTGAAGCTGCAGGTAAATGCTTTATGAATTGGGATTGTTTTCTGGGGTAGGCAACATTGTTTGCCAGTGCTGTGGGAATCCCTGGGAATCAGTAAGATCTGCCTTTAAATCTTAGTGATTCATTGGGTTCTTTTGTACCAGCCTCAGATTTCCCGTCTGTGTCAAAGAGAGTCTATATCAGGGATTGTTGTGAAGGTTAAATGTGACCGTGCAAGTGCAAAGCCTATAGGAGACGCTTGATGAGTGATGGTTCTCTTGCTGTCTTTCTGGTAAGATTCAGTGATGCTAAGTGTTCTGAGAGTTAATGTTTGCTGTAAAGCTGTGTATTAGTTATCTGCTGCTTTGTAATAAATTATTTGTGGCTGAAAACAATAACCAAAATGCACATGCATAGTCTTACTTTTCTGGCTAGGAAAGTAGAGGCAGTTTAGCTGAGCACAGAGACTTAAGGCCTCTGGTGAGGTTTAGTCACAATTCCCACCCAGGATGGGGTCTCACTAGAAGGCTTGACTGGGTGAGGTCAGTTTCTAAATTTATTTATGTGTTTGTTGGCAGGGTGAGGGTCTCTGTAGACTGTTGCTCTGAGGGCTTCAATTCCTCACTGGCTTTTGGCTAGAGGCCTGTCCCATTCTCTGCCACATGAACTCGTCCGTAGGGCAGTTTATAACAGCATCTGCTTAAATCATTTCCAAAGTTGGAACAAACAAGGGTAGCACTAGGTCAGGTCCATTGTCTTTCCACACTTGTAACATTCAGAGGCAAACAAGCAGCCATATGATAGTGTTTTTTGCCTTTTTTTGTATAACCTGAGAGCCTCTTCACAACATGATTCATTTTCTTTTCTTTAAAGAAAGATTTATTTTGGGGCTGGAGAGATGGCTCACTGGTTAAGAGCACTGACTGCTCTTGCAGAGGACCAGGGTTCAGTTCCCAGCACTCACATGGCGGCTACAAACTAGTCCTTAACTCCAGTTCCAGGGGAATCTGAAGCCTTCTGATCTCAGAGGTATTGCATGACATGGGTCCACTCACATACATGCAGGCAATACACTAGTACACATAAAATAAATTTTTTAAAAAGAGATTTATTTTGCAGGGTGTAGTGGTGCACACCTTTAATCCCAGCACTTTGGAGGCAGAGGCAGACTGATCTATGTCGGATTGAGGTCAGCCTGATTTACATAATGAGTGCTAGGTGACTGGGGTTAGGGAGCCCCTGTCCAAAAAAAAAAAAAAAAAAAAAAAGATTTATTTTTAGTATTTTTGTGTATGTGTGTCTGTATGAGTGAATGTTGTGTGTTCAGTTGCCCCACAGGTGCTGCGAACTGAACTTGGGTGGTCTGGAAGAGCAGCAAGTACTCTTAACTGCTAAGCCATCTCTCCAGCCCCGCAATACGCGTTCTTCAAAAATGCATATAGTACCAATAAACTGGAAACTCTGCATAAAATGTTAGGGGCTTTAAAACACCTGGAGGGGTTGGACAGATGGCTTAGCATCTAAGAGTGCTTGTGGTTCTTGCAGAGGACCCAGGTTCAGTTTACAGCACCATGTAGTGGCTCACAACTGCCTACCACTCCAGTTTTAGGTGATCCAACACCCTCTTTTGGATTCCCCAGGCACACATGTATTGTACATACATATATGCACACACAACACACCATATATATAAATATATATATATAATCTTAAAAACAAAGCAAAACCCCTAAACTCCCCTGAGCCCATGGGATTGTCTCCTTTAGCATTCATAGATCCTAGGATGAAATTTCTGAACACTTACGTGCTGAATTTTTCCACATCATATCACATTTTCTTGTTACCTTGAACCACTGATATTTTAAAAATTTGACCTGGCGGCTGGAGAGATGGCTCAGAGGTTAAGAGCACTGGCTGCTCTTGTGGAGGACCCAGGTTCAGTTCCCGGTTCCCACATGGAGGCTAACAACCTTCCTTAATTCCAGTTCCAGAGGCATCAAACCCTCTTCTAGGCTCCATGGGCACTGCACGGGGGTGGTGTACCTAAAAATATGTAGGCAAAACACTGATACACAAATTGAAAAAAAAGGATTTTTTTTTTTTTAACCTGATCTACTTCAGCTTTCACGACTCCAGACTAGAGCTGGCAGGCAGCTAAAAAGTTGTGTCACTCAGTCTTGGCACCTTAAGGTGGGATTCAGTGCATCCCAGAACTGATGGGGTGCATTCCCATTTGAGTTGTTTCTCAGTTTCTGTCAATTATATTATTTGCATTTCTGTTTATTTCTGGTTTTACTTTTTACCACCCTGCCTCCTTTACTGTGGAAGGAGGGAAGGACAGAGCACAAAAGTGTCCTTTCTTTTACTCTTCCATCATTAAATCGTTTGAAACCGCGTGTGGAAGCCCAAGCGACACTGGAACAGATGCACAGGTGCATTTTTAAAAAAAATTGAATTCTAGGTGCCTGTATTTGCATTTACTTTCCCTTTCTGAAATCCAGGCTCAAACACACGCCCCAGTTAAGGTGGACATCCCGCAGAGGAAATAACTCTTGTCATCAGCGCTGTGCTACCTTCTTTTCCCTGTGGCTTCCTCAGAATCACTTCCAAGCTTGTTAGAAATGCAGAATCTCGGGCCCCATACAGGTCCTCAAGTGTGTCTGTTGCATTGTAGTCTGAGAAGCACGGGTTGTATTCCTCACTCACCACTAAAAAAAAAAAAGTGCGTGTTTTCTCCTAAGAATTGGCTCTCTGCTTAAACTTTTTCTTTCCCTCCTTGGAGTGCACTCTGTTTGTAGTTACCGACTCAAGCTGCGGTCAGGGGAGATTGGTGAGCGCATCCTAGGACGATCGAGGAGGAGGAAGAAGGAGAAAACTAGAGGCTGAACATAGAATCTGGGCAGTTTAAGACCCGAGAGGCAGCGAGAGTTGGATCTGCTGGACCCTCGGAGCCGGGACTCTCGGGGCACCACGCACACAGCCGCGCGCAGGTCAGTGCTTACAAAACTTGGCAGAGAGGCCGGCTGGGGCGGCCGGGGGCGGGCTGGCGGGAGGGCGTGGCCGGCGCCGAGGGGCGGGGTCAGAGCCGAGGCAGTGGGGAAGCAACCGCGCTGGGCAGCGGAGCGGCGGCCACGCCATGTGGCTGCTGGGGCCGCTGTGCCTGCTGCTGAGCAGCGCCGCGGGTGAGTGGGGGACGTGCGGCGAACTTCCCCGCGGCGCGGTGCGGGTTGACGGCCGCGATCGCCACCGCTAGGCGCGTGGGCCTGGGCTGCGCGCGTGGGTGTGCGCGGAGGGCGGACCCGGGCTCCGGGCTGGCCCGGACCCCGCGACGGGCTGCTGCGGGGCGCGCGCCGTGCCATTGTGTGGGCCGGGGCGCCGGGGGCTGTTGTGTGTGCGCGGGCGGAGCTTTGTGTGGCGCCCGGCTCCCGGGAGCCCGGCGGCTGCCCCGATTGGGCGTAGCTTGAGTGTGTCTGAGTGTGCAGTGTGTGTTGCGGAACCGGGGAGGGGAGGGGAGGGAGAGAAGTCTTCCCAGATTTCCATCTTCCCGGGCGCCGGGGCTCCTAGTGCGGCGCCAGCCTCCCAGAGCCTCTAGCGTACACTCTCCGGCCTCAGTTTCCCTTTGCACTGTGCTTGGAACAAGTGGCATCCCCGCTTCCTTCCCCTCCTTCCTGGGACTGTTTTGGTTTGGCCATAGCACGATGTAGCGGGACTGGACATGGGAATGACTAGGTATCCTCACCCATCCTGGGAGCAGATCTTTATTTCAGCCGTCTGTCGCGGACTTCTTGACCAGTGCGGAGCCCTGGGAAGAGGACCTGGGGCTTCTGAGGACTGTTGGTCCCTGCACAGAGCGTGTGCATCCTGACACTCCCAGGACAGCGAGCCTCTTTCCCTCCCCTACAGTGAGCTGTTCCCAGGAACTTTTCTGCTGATGTGGGCACAGCTCCGAATTCCATCCTGGAGCCCTTCCCCTCTGCCCCTTCCTGCCAGCCACAGCTGTCAGCAACCCCTCCTAGCTCCGCCAGCCCTTGGCCCCCTGATGTTTTTTCTGCACAGCTGATGTCCTGTGATCTTTCGTTCGTGAAGATTTCTTCGTGTCTATGCCATTCACATGTCTGATTCATGTTGGTTCCCCCAAATATTTCTAACAACTTGCCTGCTAGGTGTCGTGTTTGTTTGGGAAGTTGAGAACATTTTGAGTTGTCCTCTTGCAGATGTCCTAAAGGGGAACTCCCAGCCTTCTTAGAACTCCCTGGTGCTGTGCATCCTTTGAACCCACCGGCCAACCCCTCCCCCCCCATGACATCATACTCTCTTCTCTAGACTCCATTTAGACGTCTGTGGATTTGCTCAGCTTCCAGTGAGGGGCTAGACTCCAGAGAAGGAGGGAGGGAGGAAGGAAAAAAAGGGCAGGGGCGAGAGAGAGAGAGATTCAGATTCAGAAAGTGTATTAGGCAGCTATAAGCAGGTGCAAATTATTTGAAGGTTGTTAGAGCAGGCTCAGTTCCAGGGCATCTCAGATATGAAGATCTGCCTGGATTCACACATTTAACTCACATAGTCATGTCATGCCCCTGATAATACCCCAGCCAGCTCTTATGTGTGTCCACTACTTGTGACCAGTGAACACTAATTATCACTTCTCCCCATTGTACTGGGTTGCTTGAGTAGAATGTCCAGTTCACAAAATGTTATTTCTATCACTCCCTGGTCAACAATGGTTATTTAGTATGGTGTGCATATACATTATGAGCTCAAATAACTAAAATAGTCACAGTGAGTTATAAAATTCAGGGGAAGAGAGGAACAGCCCAATGTTCCTTGGAAGATTGTTTGTGGCTTTGGATTGCCTAAGCTGCTTTAGGAACCTTTAAGTGGATTGGAGTGTGCCCATTTTTATGTTACGTTATGCACCATCTTCTAAGCATGAATTGTATTTGACCCAAATGTGAGAAACAGGCCTGGGTTATTTTTTCTAATGCTGTTGTTCACAGCTGGACCAGATACCCTTCTATCCCACCTGCTACACCTCAGCTATCTTTTAGAAAGCTGATAAAATGAGAGAGGACATAAAAACCAGGACTTTGGATTTTCACCTCCCTTTGATATAGTCTGTAGAGGAAACCTGGGGTCTAAATTGAGTGGCAACTCTGAGTTCCCCATCTTTGTTTGGCTGGAAGGCCACTCTGTCACTCTAAGGCCTTGTTCAGGAACCCTCTTAGGTACCTTCTTGCATGCTTTTCTTTTGTCTTATGGTTGCATTAGGGAAGTGAAGCATTGATTGTGACTATTATTATTTTTTAATGTATCCTGCTAGAGGCTCAGCCCACATCACTTCATCTCATGTCCAGTTTTCTGGCACATGGGTGTACATGGTGGGTTTGAGTGAGTCTTGAGACATTTCTAATGGTGGCCATGTGGATGGGTAGTTGGTTAATTGTCCCCTTTCTTCTCAGCCTTTGCTGAGACACCTTAGCTCCTTCTCCTGTCTGGGAAGGTCTCCACTCCCCCCCCCCCACCAGGAGTGTGCCTATTGACCTTTTCTCCTGGAAGGATCTGCTTCATGACCCGAGGGCGGGTGTTATCTTTTTTTTTTTTTTTAACTATCTAAGTAGCTGCGCACAGTTCAGCACAGCCCAACCCCAGTAGAAGAGACTGAACAGAAGTACAAATAAACACACCTTGTTGCTTTTCATCTTCAAAGGCTGGGACAGGAGCTCCCTACTGGGGTGTGAGGTGCTTTTTTGTTGTTGTTGTTTCTTGATAGCCCACCAGGCATCAGTGGGAAAGGGAGAGGATGGGGATATGAATAGAAGAGGACACGATGATAAATTCTGGGCCTTAAATTTTGACCAAAAATCAAAGTTTCCAGAATAAGTTGACAGTAGGCTTGTGTGGTCACCACTGTGAATTCATTATTTTTCTTTTCTTTTTTGAGAAAGGGTTTCATGTAGCCCAGGCTGGCCTTTAACTAGCATCTTTGAATTAGCTATGTAGGTGAGGATAACCTTGAACTTCTGATTCTCTTGCCTCTACCTACTAAGTGCTGCGATTACAGGCATGGACCACTGTGCCCTGTTTATGTGGTGCTGGAAATCGAACTCAGGACTTTATTCATGCTAGGCAAACACTCTGTTACTGAGCCATATTCATCTCTAGTCTGACTTTTGTAAAGCAGTTGAGAGAATTTGGAGATTAAGAAGTTATGTGATGCCATGATATTGTACAGAATGTTTGTCCTTATAGCCTTGCCTGTTTGTATGGGCAGACCAGGGGACTCCAAGATTCATGGCCCAAGTCCTATGTGTGAGATGCTTATCTTGCCCCGGAAAATGCCTGACCTCCTTGACTTTTTCCAAAGAGCTCAGGTAGCAAGTAGTAGCATGCCATTCTATGGCTTCCAAGGATTGATGACTGTTCAGGGCACCAACATATGGACTGAAGCATAGATTCTAACCTAGGCATCTCCTGGATCCCTCCCCAGCCTCTCTTGCTGTACCCAGCTTTGTGGACAGTGCTACCATGTCTGTCCTACTAGGAATGTTGGTGAACCAACAACACCCTCCTCATACCTGCTCATTTTGTGGATAATACCCTGAACATTTTCAACAGTGACATCACTTGTCTATGGAGAACACATCCATGATCACAGTGAATACACACAGGAAATCTCAGTCCTTGTGTGGAGATGTTAACTTGTCACTCTAACCCTTTCTTTGCCATGCACATGGATGGCAGAGGATGCTATAAGCTGAGGCTCCATTGCTGACTGGAGTGGTATGAACCTGAGGGTACTTATTCTTACTTATTGAGCTCCATATTTATGTTTCTCCCTTTTTCTTATATGTTTATCATATTGTCTAAATAAAAATGCAAAGATGCTGTATGCTATGACATATCTTAGAGTGACATATCTATTAGCTATGGATAGCTCCAGGGACAGATCTGGTTTGGGGCTGTTGCATTTTCTTGTTGGTTTTCTTTTCTTCTTTCTGTCTTTTGGATGCTTTGGTACTGCTTGGGCAGTCTACTTGACAACCAGGGAGATGCTTTAAAGATGGTGCTTTTCTTCCATTGTAATGGTATTCAGTTGGGTACTGTGGAGAATTCTTTGTTTTTGTTTTTGTTTTGTTCTGATTTCTTTATTTTTTTAATGGGAGGGTAGCCAGGTACTTTGAAGAAGTAGCATTTGTTTGTCATATCACTTATTTATTTTTGAGCAGGGTCTCATTATATAGATCAGGTTTGCAGAGATTTACCTGCCTCCGCCTCCTGAGTGCTGGGTTTAAAGGTGTGCACTACCATGCCTAGCCTACTTGGCATATCACTTGCTAAGTGTTTAATATTGCACACCAGAATAAGCAGACTCTTGTGCCAAGGTAACTACTTGTTAAGAGAGATAGTAAATGCTTATGTGAGGTAGCATTATAAAGGTTCTTGGAGGTGCTTCTGAAAATGGGATTAGCATAGTCTAGGGGTTCTCAGCCTTGGTGACACTGACATTTAGGACTGAATAGTTGTTTTTTGTGTCGGGCTGTTCTGTGCATTGTACAGTGCTTTGCAACATTGCTGGGCTAATATGTGATAATCAGTTACCTTTCTGGACAGTACCAACTTGACTCTGGTTGAGAACCTCTGATGTAGTGCAACAAATTCCCTTGCCATTCACCTTGAACTCATCCTAAAAAAAACCCTGCTGGATGCAAAGGGTCAAAATGACATTCTATTCTGTCACATTTCTCTGTTTCTGCTGCCATGCAAGTTCAGTGTAAATATACATTCTGAAATAGAAATGCCCAGGGCACTGACCCCTTTCCTCTCACTTACCTTTGTGCTATAGTGAAAACTTATGGAATTTTCGACTGCAGCTTTGCTTTGACTCCCTTAGGAAAGACATATGCTGAAAAAGTAGGTCACAGACAGGTGGTAGTTGATAGCCAAAACCACCTGGCTCTCTGAATGTTAAGCTTGGGATGTTCATGTGCTCCGGGTGTGTGGGCTGTAGGAGAGAGGATGCTGGGATTTTCTGCCTTGAGAGTCCAGTAAACATTTGGGATCTGCCTGTCTCCATCCCCCAATGTTGGGGTTACAGGCATGTGTAGTCATGCCCAGCAATTTACATGGGTACTGGGGATTTGAACTCATGTCTTCAAGCTTGCAGAACAAGTGGTCTGAATCACTG